TTTTAGCAAATGAACTAAAAAACTTAAGAATGTTTAGTCTGAAGTTTTAGCAAATGAACTAAACAATTTCAGCATATTTAAACTGCAATTTCGGATAAAACTCATGACAAAACTGTAAACTGCATGATGAATAACTTCAGCATGAATTAACATGGAGTTTTAGCTTCAATGTGAAACAACTTCATACTATATTAGCATGTATTTTAGCTTCAACATGAAACAACTTCATGCTACATGAAGTTTTAGTTTCAAGGTGAGAGGAGAAGAGGAGATCTCACGCGATTAATGTGTGATGCAAGTTTTATATCTTTTGTCAGGGGTATAATTGTCATATTATTACGGATTTTTTGTCAACTGGCTACCAAATCAATAATTTTTAAAAATATGGTACATGTTAAAAGGTGGAACAAATATAGGGTACGACTGCAAATCCTCCGCCAAATTAGTGTGGTCATTAAGTAGCTCTCGTAAATTTAAACTTTTTATTTTATTTTTTTCATATGTCACATTAAGTTGCAATTTGAAATGATTAATATATCACTTGAAGTTCTGTTAAAAATGAATGACATATTGAAATGATCAACATATGTTGCCAAAGTGAGATTCTTTCGAAGCTAAACTTGACCTTTACATTTAATAATTTGAACTGGATTACGTATAAGGTCAAGCGCGGGAGTCGACCGTTGCAGAACCTTTTTCTATGTTGGAAATCTCAACCGTTCAGTTAAGACCACTCCAAGCAAGCCTGTGGGGCCAACAAAAAATATACGGCTAAGATCAATTATATATTACCATCAGTAAATGCAAATCTCTGGGGGAAATAAAGAAAAAAGGGAAAAACAAATTCAAAATTCAAAATTCAAACGGCCATTAAAGCTGCGACAATCTTCCCCTTTTTTCTCTCCCAAGCATAGTGTAGTGAATCCTCAAAGTGTGAGCCTTTTTTCCACCATTTTCAGCTCTCTTTAACTAATGATTTGTCTCTTCAAAAGTCATCAAAGAGGAGCGTCTTCTTTGCACGATCAAAGACAATAAATACTCTTAAGCTTTCTTGGCTTTTGAGTAGTGAAAAGATTTAATTTTTGTAGGTTTTTAGACTAGTCAAAATTAATTTTTTAGAGAAACCCATTTAATTCTTCAGCTTCCAAAAGCTTTATATAAAGGGAAACTCTTGAACTTTTGAGGTTTTACACATCAAATTGATTTTCTAGAGAAAGAAACTCATCTGATTTTTGTGTTTTCTAGAGCTGAATATATGGTGGAAAAGTTTGAATTTTTTGAGCTCCACCCTTTTGGTGTAGTTTATTTTCTGAGTAAGCCCATATAAAATTCTTGGTTTCCAAAGTTAAATTAATATGCAGTGGGAAAGTTTCAGTTTTGATCTTCAAACTGAAGACCCCCATTTAATATCTGTGATGACCAATGCTGAAAAAATGGTGCAAAAGTTTCAATTTTGAGCTTTGCTAAACCTCTTTAGAGCTCAATTTTATGGTGAAAAAGTTTCATTTTTGAGCTTCAAACTTGGGTTAGTCATTTTATGAGGAAACTCCATTTGTATCTTCAGGGTTTTAGAGCTTAATCTAATGGGATTGTGGAGTTTCTGACCTCATAATTAAGTTATTCAGGGTTTTGAGTATAAGGGGTTGGAATCTTTAAAGTTGTTCACAATGGGAGAGGAAAAATCATCAGAGAATAGAGTGAAAGCTTCAAAATTTGGTGATCAAAATAAGGCACCAAAGGGTAGTAGTAGTAATAGCAATGCAAAAGGGAATAGTAGTAATCTGTCAAAGGTGAGATCTTCATGGGGTTCTCATATTGTGAAGGGTTTCTCAGGGGATAAGAAATCCAAGTTGCAGACGATAATTCATGCAAAGAAAGAGCCACTTTCTGTCAACGAAAACTCGAACCAAAAGAACTGTTCTGGGATTTCTCAATCAAGGGTGAAGAGGTCTTTAATGGGAGACTTGTCATGTTCAGCCAGTTCAACTCAAGTTCATCCTCAAACAGTTAATATCCACAGGGCTAAATCTTCCGGTTCGCGTGATCTATTCAATGAAATTGATCATTTGAGGAACTTGTTACAAGAATCAAAGGGAAGGGAATTGAAGTTGCAGGCTGAGTTATCAGAATTCAAGAGGAGTCCAAAAGTTGTCGAGCTCGGGAGGGAACTGGAGTTGAAGAAGAGTGAGATCGATAGTTTTGTGAAGAAAGTTGAATTGCTGGAATGTGAAAAGGCAAGGCTTACTGATCAACTGGTTTCCTTGGCTGCTGCTCTAGAGAGGCAAGATGAGATATCCAATAGGGAAGAATTCAAAAGTGTGACTAGTTTGGAAATGGAGGTTGTGGAGTTGAGGCGCTTGAATAAGGAGCTCCAGCTTCAGAAAAGAGATATTGCTTGTAGGCTTTCTGAGGTACTTTGACTGCTTTGTCTATAAAAGTATCCAGTATTCATTGCAGTTTTGAATCTTGAATTTGCAAACCCTTGATAAAGTGGCCACAGATGTCTTTAATGCATAGTTTTCTCTAGTAGTTTATTAGTGAAATACTGAAAAATGTGGTTCAAACTTTATCTTGTATTTTTCATGCATAGTGTAGGAAAAGTATCCAGTATTCATTGCAGTTTTGAATCTTGAATTTGCAAACCCTTGATAAAGTGGCCACAGATGTCTTTAATGCATAGTTTTCTCTAGTAGTTTATTAGTGAAATACTGAAAAATGTGGTTCAAACTTTATCTTGTATTTTTCATGCATAGTGTAGGAAAAGTATCCAGTATTCATTGCAGTTTTGAATCTTGAATTTGCAAACCCTTGATAAAGTGGCCACAGATGTCTTTAATGCATAGTTTTCTCTAGTAGTTTATTAGTGAAATACTGAAAAATGTGGTTCAAACTTTATCTTGTATTTTTCATGCATAGTGTAGGAAAAAATGAATTCGTCTAACAACTGTAATTGGTTAGCTTGATTATATCTTGTTTCACTTTATTATTATCAGGGGGACACAATTGAGAATATTAAAGCAGAGGCTTCTATGTTGAGACACACAAATGAAAACCTTTGCAAACAAGTTGAGGGGCTTCAAATGAATAGATTGAATGAGGTTGAGGAGCTTGCCTACTTAAGGTGGGTGAACTCATGTTTGCGCGAAGAATTGCGCAATTGTTCGTCCACGACTTGTGAAAAGACTTGTAGCCCTCATGATAGTGAGAAAAGTAGGGAATCACTTTGCTTGTCTTATGATCATAGTGATGAGGAGTCGAAATATAGTAGCTCAAGGAGGTTAAGCCTTGTTAAGAAGTTAAAGAAATGGCCTATTACCGATGAAGATTTGCAACTAGTTGATAGCCCGGATAATACCATTAATCATAGTTGGGATGATACACAAAGTTCTACTCGCAGGCACTCGATAAGTGGATCAAAATTTTATCTAGAGGACTTGATATATAGTAATAAGAGAAGACAATCTGATGGTTTTATGTGTTCAAAGGAAGTGGAGAAGGAGATTGAGCCTCTTATTTCCCAACATAAATTAACCACCAACCCTTTGGAGGTGGTTGAGAAACGTGTCTTGCGAATTCCTAATCCTCCTCCAAGGCCTTCATCTGTTGCTTTAAGTGCAACAGAAGGAGAAGATTGTGTTCAAGTTCATGTTCTTCCACCACCTCCCCCTCCTCCTCCGCCACCTCCTCCAAAACTCATGGCAAAAACTACAACTGGCACGGTGCAGAGAGCCCCTCAAGTAGTAGAGTTTTATCATTCATTAATGAAGAGAGATTCTAGGAAGGATTCGTTAAATGGAGGAGCATGTGATCCCTCAAGTGTTGCAGACGTTCGTAGTAGCATGATCGGTGAAATTGAGAACAGATCATCTTATTTGCTGGCTGTGAGTTCTTTCTGCCTGCTCTTCTCATTCTATTTTTGTCAATATCAATGATCACTAAATTGCACTATAATGACTCAAGATGTCCAAGAACATTTCCCTTGTCCTCCTTGACCATTTATATGATCCATATATGAGGAACTATTTAGATTTTTTCCCAGATATTTTTCATTTCAGTCTCTGGACTTTATTTTACTCCTGATTGCATGTTATTGTTCCACTTGTAGATAAAGGCAGACGTGGAGACCCAAGCAGAATTTGTGAATTCCCTGATAGCTGAGGTCAACCATGCAGTTTTTGCGGATATTGAAGACATAGTTGCTTTTGTGAAATGGCTAGACGATGAACTTTGCTTTCTGGTGAGAATACATTTTGAAATCTTTATTGACTGCAATAAAGATACCGTTGCTATTGTCTCATTTTGAATTTTTTTAGGATCATTCAATTGAAAATGAAGAATAGAATCTTAGAAGAGTCCTGTTTCGGTCCTAGTTTATTTCATTTTAGTGGCATTCAGTTAGTAATCATTACGAACTAAATCCAGTGTACTTAAATGACAGTTCCCAGAAAATTCGACCAATATCGAGGTGCTTTATCTGCTGTATTTCATATATTAAGTAGGAGGTGCAGCTTGTAATTTACTGCTAAATTTTGATCATTACGCTTGTGCTGTTTTGAAGGTGGACGAAAGGGCAGTGCTAAAGCACTTTGACTGGCCCGAGAGAAAAGCAGATACACTAAGGGAGGCAGCTTTTGGATATAGAGATCTCAAGAAGTTGGAGAATGAAGTTTCAAGTTACAAGGACGATCCTCGATTGCCATGTGATATTGCACTAAAGAAGATGGTTTCTTTGTCAGAGAAGTAAGACCTCAAGTTTTGTTTGTAATGTCGGATATATTACGTTTTACCTCCTTGCCCTTCAAATTTTATCTTCACATCGCAGGATGGAGCGTAGTGTCTATAACCTTCATCGGACCAGAGACTCATTGATGCGTCACTGCAAAGAGTTCAAAATCCCCACAGACTGGATGCTTGATAATGGGATACTAAGCAAGGTTCAGCTATTTCATTGTTTGTTTCTTGCTGTTTCCAAATAGAAAGTCTTGGGTAGATTTAGGTCTTCAAATGGTGATAGAGCTTGATTTGATTAGCCAATAAGATATAACCATTATTTATTAGGTTGCTGAACTGTTTAAGGCATTGTATATGGTTCACCATACAAGGGAATCCAAACTTTAGGGGAATATGAGAAGTGATTTTCTGCTTCCTAGATCTTGTAAGTGTCTTATATAATGATATGAGACAGATGACAAGTTTCAAGATTGCAGATTATCTTACACTACATTCTTTTATGCCATTTTCAATCTCCAACAGTTCAATATTGTACAATAACGACAACAACAAACCCTGTATATTCCCACAAGTGGGGTCTGGGGAGGGTAGTGTATGCAGACCTTACCGCTACCTTTAGAAGACAGAGAGGTTGTTTCCGGAAGACCCTCGGCTCATAAAAGATAAAAGGAGGGGGCAACAGTTCAATATTGTAGTTGCTCATATTTGGGCAGTGACCTTTCTTGCATTCGTGCATGTCCTCCTTTATAGAATGTTCAATACTTTTTTTTTCCTGGTCAATCTGTATAGTTGTCATTTCGTTGTGGACTTAGTTTAAAAGAAATTATGCAGATAAAGTTTGGCTCTGTGAAGTTGGCGAAGATGTACATGAAGAGGGTAGCCGCGGAGCTTCAGTCGAAGGGACCATTAGATAAAGACACTTCCATGGACTACATGCTACTCCAAGGAGTGAGATTTGCCTTCCGAATTCATCAGGTTTGTGTTGTAATCGTTGTAAATACTGGCTTGTACATTTTCTCTTACGGCGATCTTTCACTTTCTCCCTTCTTATCTCCTGTAAACTTTAAACAAGTTTGCTAATTCTGCAACAAAAAGAAATAGAAGTACTAAAAAGGGATGAACTCTATGTGTAGCACTGGTCTTTTTACAACTTGTTCAAAATGTCGTATCTTAGTTTATCTTTTGTCTTTATTGGTACAGTTTGCGGGAGGATTTGATGCAGAAACTATGCAAGCATTTGAGGAGCTCAGGGACTTAGCACTTGCTTTGAACAAGAAGTAGAAGATAGACTTTGTGAATAAGTATAATTTTGCCAGAGGGCTTACCATCTCAGTAACCATCAATTTAAGTAATCACATCTGTGGGAAACACCAATGATATTCCTTATCATTGGTTATTGGTTTTGTTTTTGTTTTTAATTTTTGATTTGGGTGGGTTTCACTTTTGACTAATGAGTCAGTTTGGCTTGGTGTAAAGCTTGGTGAAAAAGCAGTATGTTAGTTTCTGTCAATACTAGACATGAGGGTGTTTTCCATCAATTCTTGAACTATTGACGCTGAAACGAAATGACACTGAGTTATGGATTACATGTTTTAAAATGTTTCTATCCTTTGAGTTACTTTGCACTGAGATGGCAGTGGTTGCGGGACGAGGCGGCTTTAGATTCAACCCGCAAAACTTCAATCCGCACCGCTTAGCAAAAAGTTTTGTTTTCAACCCGCCCCGCGTGAACCTGCCCCGCCTAATAAAAATCTTTCATTTTCTTCTATAAGCTCTCTGTTTCGTCAAAAAAATTTAGTTTTGTGAAACTTTATTTACTGAACTTTGCTAATTTAAGTCAATTACCAAATCTTCTCATCTATTTTTTGCTCGTTGAACTGATATCTTAGCTATGCTAATTATATATTATTATTTAATCTAAATAAAAAATCATACTTTCAGATTTGGCTACTAGATTGACTTTGTTTTTTCTTATTGCTCTTTTAGTTAACAGCAACAGCTTTATTTCAAAACGAAAAAGGAGGGGAAAAAAAACCTGAATGAAAAATAAAAAGAGGAAAAGAAAATTCAGATTTTTCCTGTTAATATTACAACCACGGCCTTCAACTATTAAACATCCAAAATCTCATTTTAAAGAAAAGTATAAGATGAAATGCTTCAACAGTCTATATACTCAGTGGCAAATTTGCTTGAAATGGAAGAACCCGCCTCACATGAAATTTAACCCGCAACCACTTTTAGTTTTTAGAAGAATGTTCAGACCCGCCCTGTCTCGCACCCAACCCACATTCATCCGCACCCGCCACGCACCCGCACTGCCTCATTGCCATCCCTACTTTTTAGGCCAAAAGTTGGTCTTAGACTTGGTCACGATTCAACTAGGAGGTTGTAACTTGAAACAAATTAAGAATGGAGGAAGAGATTCCTTTTATTTGGAAAACAATGTTCTACGTGAGATATATATATATACATTAATACTCCATTCTTCTTGATAACAATGTTAAATGTCCTTTTTTATATTTCCAGCAATTTTAGCAAAATAAATATTTTTTGGATCTGTTTGACTATTCCCCCTACACAACTAATGTATCATCAAGAATTATATCTACGAACTCAGAATGACCATAATCTAAAAAAGATTTAAAAAATATTAAGAAGTTGTGAGACATAAAAAGGTATATTCATAAAACACTCTCAAAAAGTCAAGTAAACGAAAAATGACCCCTTTAAATTTTGTAAAATCATTAGTTAGTCAATTTGACTAAAAAGATAAGAAAATGACCAATTCATTTGCTTTTAAGAAAACATTATTACTATTGTGAAAATAAGAAATACTGATTAATTGCATGCAGGTAATATGCCCTTAAATGGCTAAAAAAAATTGCAAAATACAAAATTAATTGAAACTCTAAAAATTGGAAAAAATCAAAAGGTAAAATTAAAATGAATAAAATAATAGATTTTTCTTATTCCAAAAAATTACGTAATTTCTTTTTAAATACTTTTAACATATTTCCCGGTAATTATGATCATAATTGGCTGTATAAGGGTGTAAAGTGTCCCAGCACAAACTTCAGGGGCGACCATGTAACAAAAGTTTTTTATGGAGGGTGTTATAAAAGGCTGAAAATATGTTTCTTTGCTCTACTGTTTTGTATGCATTATACAAACAGCTGCAATGGCGGACTCCACAATGACTACGAAGACACTACGAGGTCGCTACTTTGTCATCCTTTTCAGTTTTTTTGTACTATTTAACGTCCCATTCTCTTTGTCCAAATCGTTCGGAAATTCCTTTTAGCTCTATTATGTATTTTCTATTTGACAGATTTCTGCCGTACTTTCTCAATACATCCTCCGTTCTCCAATGGCACAACTTCAAAAGGTGAGAAATATTCCTTTCCATTTACTTGTTTAACTTAAATTTCTAATATTATTTGGAATATTTTTCACGTACTTGTAGCTTCATCTCTTTGACTCTTCATTCCTTGCTTGATCATAGCTAATGTGCTTTGTACTTAGTGATCGATAAGTCAGACAAATAAGAGAACTTTAAGTTAACTTTATACTAATTGGTATAACAAGAAAAATTCAGCTTCATCTCTTTGACTCTTCATTTTATTGCTTGATCATAGCTAAAGTAACTTGATAAATTATACCATCTGATTGCCACTTTTTGTACCGTTAATCAACAGCTTCCAATCCTTCAGATTCATTTCAACACTGCTGCTTTTACTTGGATTAACTTCTTTTAATTGCTGGTGTACATGCTTTAGATGCTCTTCCCATAAACTACATCGTTGTCCCAATACGTTATAGTCAATTAAAGCATAATTCTTAAAATTCCTGACATTAAACAAATGCATCAAATAAATAAAATTAAGGAAAGAGGCTGCAGATTCCAGAGTTAAAAACAAATACATTAAAAATTTGTACTTCTGGTCTAGATAAGATGGATCAGTATTTGGATCTTTTGCACTTATTAAGGGACAATATGTAGGATGAACTAATTAAAAGTTGCAGCTATCTTGTAAGTACTATTTTTCTTCTGTACCATCTTGGTACCAGTTTTAATAAAATCTTTATTTATCAAAAAAAAAAAAAAAAAAAAAAAAAAAAAAAAAAAAAAAAATCCTGACATTGCTTCTAATATAAATGGAAACAGCCTCTCTACCTGTACAAGGTAGGGGTACGGTCTGCGTACACACTACCTTTCCCAGACCCCACTTGTGGGATTCCACTGGATTTTTTTGTTGTTGTTGTTGTACTTCTAATATAAACGGAAACAAGTTTAGTGCTCTATTGATTTTTGTATTATCATATTCAGTTATACAAACAGTGGTGTAGATAAGGCCTGTAATGTGTGAATTTGAAGTGCAACTCCAATTGAAATACCTGATCAAGCGTTGTATCTGTGTCTTGCTGAACCTGACGAAAAACATGCTTATAGCTGCATTAGTACTTTTATTACATCTTTCTGCTCTACTTTCAGGAAAAATATGCACGTGCCAGAGATTACCCTTTTTTCGATGGCATGCGAAGAGGTGAGGCAGCAGTCATCCGCAAAGGAAGTGGTTTAGACATTCTTAGAAAAGCCACAAGGAATGACATAACGAGGTCGGCCTCGGATGTTGGTAACCGAGGACAGAAAAAGATTCATGTGGAATTATCTGAAAATGATGCATATTATGATAGAAATTTTACTAATTCAGCATCAGAAAGTATTCGTGAACCTCTTGGTTGGTCATTCTCTGCGAAGTCATCAGCAGCTTCCAAGATGAGTTCCTCCCCTTTGGGAGGTCCTCGGTCTGGCTTGAAGTTTGATTTGCATTATATAGATGAGTCTACCATGCAGTCTAGTCAAAGATCCTTTGAAGCAAATGGAGAGTACTATTTTCCTAGTGGCTTACCTTTGCCTGCCTATGAAAGATCTTATAGTGTGACCAAGAGAAATACAACTATCTCCCGCATTCCACTTCCTCAATCGGCAGCATTGTTCTACTGCGGATATTCACCGCAGCTGGAAGTTGTTGGATCATGTCAAGGAATTCACAGGCTGAATATTTTTCTAAAGGCAAGAAGAGATGATGTTAGTGCAGGAGTTCCATCAAGATTCTTGCATGCAGTGATTGGCCCGGACTGCTGCGGTAACCTCCATTAACCATTCATTCTCTAACATAGAATTGCCTCCTTAGTAAACCAGCTTTTGTTATTTCATTTAATTTTAACATAATTTCTCGGAATAGTCCATGGAAAAATAAACGATTCTCAAGTTTGTAGTTATCGGCATCCAACATATTCCTAAAGTATACACCGAGTTAAATTGGTCTTAATTTCATATCCAAAACGGTCCTCATTAGGGCTTAGAAGATCATCTCAAGAGGAGTGTTCATGATAAATATGTTCTGTATGTCCTTTGAAGTTTGATTTGAAAGTTCAGAATTTTGAGAGTACATTTAAGGTGTGGTTTGAAAGTGAAAAAAATATAAAGTTCAAGGTCTCAGGAAAGTGGTAAGAGTGCTGGAGATGAGGAGAAGTAAACAACAGAAGGCCCAGAATGGATGGTAGATATATGGCTATCATGGCAGCATCTTTAACTTGTCTTGTGGTGGAGAGAGTGAAACTACAAATGGCGTGGTAAATCATCAGATAATCATGAAATTTTTTCCTTCATTTTGTTTTAGATTTGATACTAGACAGAGCCCCATAAATGTTGGTCACCCAATTGAAATATGCTAGTTTTAAGAACACTTGTGCATAAACAGTTGTATTCATGAATAAAGTAAATCAACAAAGGAGAATCAGTTGTTAGTTGATTTGAAAAGCTAAGTAGCAAGCAGTGTACAATAGTCTGAAAGTGTTAAGCATTAGATGATTCTACATTTTCTTTTTCAAGGATAGTTAACTAGTTACTTATGAACTGGATTTGTACAACATGGTCCAATTTATGTTTTGGCTCATGAGCAGTATCCTAGCATTTCTTGCTATCAGTCCGCAAAATTTGAAGATTTACTGACATGATATATCTTCTATTTAAAGTTAAAGATCGTTTTCTCCAGTTACCGACTTGGTTTAAGAATCTCGGAAAGAGGTTGAGGATCCTCATGTTACTGATGATGCATGAATTCTATTGCAACAAATTTCTTGATGTTTGATTCTACTTAAACAGGGCCAAACTATACAAATACCAAAGCAAAGGATACTTGTAGGAGTAGATAAAGTATCATAATGAATGATAATTTCCATACAATTATGGAGCCATGATGTCTCCAATTGAAAACATGAGCTACATAAAATGAGTGGATAATCCAATAGAGTAGAAGCTTCTGGAAAAAGTTGCGAATGGCCTAAGCCTACAGTTGAAGAACGTAGATCCTAGTAAATCACTTTTGATTTTACAATTTGTTTTTTTAGTATATATATTGGTCAGAAATTGTAATTGCATAAGTATTTCTGGTTGTTTATGTTTAAGGAGAAATGCACCATCTCTTTTGCCACGTATAAAGATTTTGCAAATTGTTCAAGTTTAAGCTACCTCTTTCATTGAATACCACCTTATAGGACCAGAAGTATATAGGCTGTATACTCAGACAAAAAAGAGATGCTCAACTTTTATAGTCCTTTGGCAATTATTTGAGAAATACTTGCTTCATTTAGTTTATCGATTGCAGCACAGAAGGAAAAGTCCTTATTTAGAGAGCAGTCAGTAGCTTGAACTTTCAATACATGTCTGTGATCATTTGTAACAACTTGCATCTTACATTGATTGACTTTAATAGTACTTTTTTTTTTTTTTTTTTTTTTTTTTTTTTTTTTTTTTTTTTTTTTTTTTTTTTTTGCAATCTGGATGCAGATGTTGGATCTGTTGCTTCAACCATCATGTATGCTTTTTACTTGAATGAAACATTAAATGACAACCAGTTCTGCACTGTGCCCGTCATCAACATGAAAAGGTCGGACATTCATTCTCATGCTGAGCTCAGATGGCTACTTGATTCTTGCTTTCTTGATCAATCTTCCTTGATTTTTATTGATGAGGTATGTTCCATTCTGTATGCAAAGTTAGTGAAAGGAAATGAGACTGTAGTCTAAATTCTCTAGACTTGGGTCCACATAGTAAATGAAATTCCAGGAACGTCATCCTAACAGCTGATCTGCTTTCCTTGGAAAGCTTGAAGATCTTGTCTTTTACTCTAATAAAAAAAAAAAATTCTCTACTTTCTGCTATACTCCAAATATGCCCATAATACTTGGTTCTTATTCAATTGATAGCTTGATATTTTTTATGTCTCAGAAGTTTTAATTATGTTCTCTTCATTAAACTTTCAACAGATTGATCTTTCCTACTATGATTTATATGGGAGTCTTAAACTTGTTTTAGTCAACCAAAGCAAGCTTCCAGCTAATCAGGAGGTAAGTGCTTTGTTTCAAGTGTGCTGATTTGCTATTAATTAGTTGAATAATGATTAGTTGCTGCTTACTGGAACAGGCATTAAAGGATGCAGTGGTTGAAATCTTCAATTGCAGAGAGGTTCTTTTTATTTTGGTTTTCTTTTTTCTGTTTCTCCATTATACTTTGACTATGTCAAGTAGTAAAGTCTGTTAAATAGAGAGAGACTATGCTCTGACCTTTTCTGTTTAAGCAGGAAGATACACCTTATTCTTCAGTTGGTGCTATCACCCTTGGGAAGGTATTTTCCTCATTTCCATAAGAAATACAGGGGAAAGTCGACATACCAATAAATGTTATTTTCCTTGATTTGTCTTCTATGTTCTAAAAACACTATTTTCATATGTTTAACAGTTCAACTGGTTAACGGAAACTAGTTTTGCTAAGCAGCACTAAATTCGACTTCGTAAATATTTATGCAAATGCTTTATTTGGTGGAAGTTTGACTTAGTCCAGTGTAGCTTGTGCTCCAATAAATTTAAGAACAACTAGAGAAACATTGCAGCAAGAGTTCGCGGATGTTGGAGAAAGTTAGGCCTTGGGCAACCTTCACCTCATGAGCTAGCTTTCGACCTCGAGTTAGGCCTAAGGGTCATTTTATTTACACAATCAAACTTGCTGCTGGGAGCCAAATGATTGTTCTTACTTCTACTTGACGTATTTTGTGTACTTATTTATGTATTGTAGGAGGCATCATGCTGCACACTTATTGCTAACAAGTTTGCATTAACTTCACCAGAGATACTGGCGGGTCAAGGGTTCAGTCGACTTCTGGTACTAGCTCTAATATCTGGATTTTCAAACGTGTATGCAAGTCATATTTGTCTAAACTGAAGTCCTCTATTATGTTTTAAAACCATTCCTTTTCTTCATCTCCTTCACTACCAGAACCACTGTTGTTTGGACTTGTAAAAAAGAAAAAAGAAACTGTTATTTGGTACCGATGCCTGAAGTCTCAGAACCTGTTTTAACCAATATATTAGGATAGAAATCTGAAAGAATCACAAATGTTTTTGCCTCTCAGGTGAATTCAAATATTTTGAGACGACCTTAGGACCAAGTAATTCCAAAGGTATGAAGGTGGAAAATATGATGAGAATTTTAAACTGCAACAAAATCCCAGTGGTAAATGAAAACCTTACCCTTTCCAAATGAAGGTTTTGCCCTGAGGCGGAGCTTGGATTTTTAGTTTATGGGTTCTGAACCACAATCCTTTTTTCTTATTGGGTTCTGGATAAATTATTTACACATATCAAATGAATTTTAATACAAATACAGGGTTGAGCCAAAGCTATTGAGTTCCGCCGAACCCGTAACTATAAAGGTGGCTCTGCCCCTGGTTTTTCCTGGTTCTTGTGATTAGTATCGATAAATTATATTGTTCATAGTTAGTTGTAATGAAGCTGGACCCTTCATTTATATTCATTTGGTTTTTGTTAGGAAGTGTGAAAGAGGGTCCTATCGTATTTTTAATGGTAAAAAGATTTGTAAGAGTAATAGCAACTCCAATGTGGAAATGAAGACACTATTTTGAGACGGATCATAGTAGAATCAATCATTTTAGTATGAGATGAACTTTGTATGCATTTAATTTTTTTATATTTTGTAAAAAACTTTATATGCATTTAATCCTGAAAACAAATTTCAAAAAACTTCTAATATTCTCAGTTCTTGGTGAATATATTTTGTATTACATTGTAGTCAATGGAGGTCTCTAGCAACTTTTAAGAGAATTAGTTTGTACTTTTGTTATCTGGTTCTAGTGTACCTGACCAAATACAATTTGCTGAGGGAATTTTAAAATTTTCATCTGTTTCCTACCCCCCACCTCCCACCTGGGAAAACCTTATGCCTAGCATTAACATAAAGTGCAAGATTCTATTAAAATCATTTAACTTCTGAGACTGTAAAAGTTTTCAAATTGGTCCCTGCATTCAAATCCTTGTTGATGCACAATCCTTCCCCACTTCTGTCGATTCTTTTGATAACAATGAACAATACGGCAGCTCCTACTAAAACATGTTTATGCATCTTTCTAAATGTTCAACACAATTTACTTGTCAGCTCTGCCGTGAAAATTGAATATGGGCACTATATTTGGCAATTCAATTTGTGAAAGATATCCTCTTCTTCTTATCCCTACTTATAGCATAGGTCCAACTGTTTGCTTTGCCCACACTTTGGATTTCTCTGGATGGCATAAGGACTTCTACTATCTTAACCAATGCCCTTATTGTGTCAAGGGTTCTGTCTTTATGCTTTATAATCTCTTCATAAATCTGATTACTTGTGCAGTTAGCAGGTATACTCGTCGACACTGGAAATTTGACAAACCCACAGACTACAACAACTGATAAGTACATGACCACCTTGTTGATAAATGGAGCAGGTCGATTTGGATGTAACGGTCTTTATGAAATTTGTAGGTTATGCAGCTTTGATAGCCGTTATTCTTCACTATTCTAGGTTTCTAATTCCTGAGTGATCAGACTCAGCTCCCAATTAAAACTGTGTCATTTTCAGTTAGATACAAAATGGATGATGTAGCTGACCTCAAAGCAGGAGAAGTTTTACAAAAAGATATTAAAAGATTGTCAAAACCGGATGCAGCTGACCCCAGAGCAGGAGAAGTTTTGCAAAAAGATATTAAAAAGTTGTCAAAGTCAGATGCAGCTGAGCCCAGAGCCGGAGAAGTTTTACAGAAAGATAATATAAATTTGTCAAAATCGGATGAAGCTGACCCCAGAGCAGGAGAAGTTTTGCAAAAAGATATTAAAAAGTTGTCAAAGTCAGATGCAGCTGAGCCCAGAGCCGGAGAAGTTTTACAGAAAGATAATATAAATTTGTCAAAATCGGATGAAGCTGACCCCAGAGCAGGAGAAGTTTTACGGAAAGATATTAGAAGATGGTCAAAATCAGGTACTCATCTGCTTCTCTTTGTCCCAATCACAGACCTTTCTGTTTCAAATCCATGATTTATTAGCTTTTGTAGATGCCTTGTTCAAGTATGCTACTTGAATCTAGATGATTCATTTCTGTAGTAGGATACGAGCACAGACATATTATACTGTAATTCATATTGGTATTCAAACTTATTTAAAGACCAACGGCTAACAGGTGCTGACTGCCTTTCCCTAATGTAACCCTGCAGTTAGTTAATTAAAGTACACCTAGATACAAATATGGATTACTAGATTTTCCATACTCACAAGTATCGCCTCATCTTTTATGAGTGTTCCTAGAATGTGTAATTAGTTTCTCAAACCTCTGGCTAGCCACAAAGTAATTTTATCTAGCCAGATTCTGTTTTTCTTTTTTCTTGACAAGTATTTGGCTAGCAATAACTCTTAGGAAGAAACAAGAAGATGGTCTCTACAGGGTTCTGTCGAGTAAATTGATGCAATCATATTATGGTTAGAATTTACAGATAGCTTGGATATTTGAGAAACTTCCTTGGAGTTTACATTCTTTAGTGGTCTCATTTCACACACATTGAGGTCATGGACATGATAACGTTTTTAGTGTATTATTTATTTGGACTGACCTTCAGTGCTTGGAGCAGGGAAACCTGATGGTACAGGATCAAGAATGGGGACTTCAAATATTGGAATGAGTTCAGTCGGAATACCTATAGGAGAGCTCTTATCACATCACTCTACTTCAGCAGAAAACATAAGAAGTTTCCAGCGTAAGTAATTGATACTGCTCCTTTTCCAATTCGGAAGCATAAATATTTCGATCAGTGACTAATCACAAGATAATTGTGATCATATCTCCAACTGTAGCTCTTTTTCATATGAGAGAAAATCGTCTAGCTAGCTGGCCAGTGTTCTTTACTTTGTTAGATAAATTGCTTAAACTCTTCCCCCTTCTCTTTTTTTCCTTTCTTTCTCTAAGTGCCATTCTTTAATCAAGTTCGTGTAGTCTCAAATATGACAACCCTTTTGGTCCTTATCTGCAGTTACTATGGCAGTGGTAGAATAATCTGTTTTCAAGCTCTCCCTCATCTTATCCATCCATCCTCATCAAGGAAAAATAATATATATATATAAGAATTCTTTTACTCTTGTGTGCTAGGATGAGGGAACGAGGTTCTGGTCTGGTAGAGAGTTAAAAACTTTTTTACCTTCTGTTCCTGCCAAATGACTTTATACTTTCACTCCTCGTGAATACTTTGACAGCAGGGAGATATGACACCTTGGCTTGACAATAATTTTCTTTTCCATATGCAGAACTAGAGAAACTTCGCATCCTCTTGATCGTTTCAGGGTATTATGATGCTGAGAAGAACTTCAAGGTTTAATAGCTTCCTCTTTGAATGCTTGCTCTAATTTTGATGGATCAAGTTGCTCGATGTTGTGTCTGACAGATTATTCTACTTTTGCTTTATACTGTTGCCTGGTGGCTTATTATTACATTTGTGTCTTGGAACAATATAAATTTCTAAATTCTCATTGCGACTTATATTTAGCGGCTTCTTGGGTGAAGTTTTCCTTTTATCTCATTCGTAAAAGAAAATTTCCAATTTGTTTATGCTAATGGAAGGATGACTCTGTGTTGTGTGTACTTCTATGAACTGGATGTATGTGATATGGGATATACCATTTTGCTGATATTCAAGCATTCTAACCATGTTCCTGGCTTTCAATTTTAGAGGGAGATTCTAGTCTCAGCTGAATCTACTGAGCTTATGAAAAGCCTGCTCCAGTTTATCTACTCCTACGCAAATGTGCTTCCACTCAAAGCTTTGCGTCAATCAGGTCAATAAGCTACATTTCTTCATATATAACTTTATCAGTCTCAAGATTATGCTTCTGTATTGAAACCATATTTCACCATCTTTTTTGGGTATCAAGAATCCATTGAAATGAAAGTCGTTTATTACACGGAGGTAGGGATTTTTAAGAGGAAAAGAAAAATAATTAGCTGGCTCTTACATATACCAATTACTGTCTTTTTCTTCTGCTTTTTTTCTTTTTCCCCTTACTGACCCTAGATGCAATTTCATGAACTACCATTTGAGTGTCTAGACATACCCTTTCGCTGATGCTGGGTGTGTGAACTCTTGATGTAATTTTACAGGTCTAGCTGCTGAGATGAGGGTGTTCGAGATTGAAAAAATTGTATCAAGGAAGACGATTGAGAAACTTCTGGAAGAATTCAATGAGATAGCAAAATAGTATAAAGTTTACAGGCCATTCCACATTTGTTGTTGTGTTACGAATATGCATATATCTCATGTTCCAGTAAGAGTCAAGAGTATACATGTGTTACTTTTGTAGTTCCAAAGAACCTCTATATCTACTAGTTACTATAGGATGTTTATTTCTCTTCCAAACATAGTCTGTATGTATTGTGATAATATCAGTGCCACATATATGGCGATAATCATTTTATTTTTTTTGTGCTCGCACCAAACATGTTGAAAGGGGTTCTAATTTCTTCTTCTGGAAATAACTGCTGGTGATGTTACTGTCAATATATGTGGTGATTATCTTTTCTTTCTTTTAAATGCAAGTATATAATGCTCTACCAGCATAGAGTTTCTTTGGGTACTACATGCTTTATTACAAGACAACTGTATATGATCTTGGTTATCAACCACCTACTTCTCAATCTATTCAAAGGAATTGTTACTATGATTGCAGAAACAGGTGAAAGGATATCACCAGGGCTTTTCATTTTCTGTTGGGGAAAAAATGCATGCTTACACTTGCAGTGTAATTGTTTGGCTTAAACTTATTGTATTTTTCCAAGTTAATATTTTTCATTCTCTCATAGATAATTACCTTATTCTTCGTCAGCAGACAACATGTTAAACCAGACTTTTAATGTGTTCCTGAGAAATAACTCTGTGGCAAGTGTCAACTATCTGAAACAAAATGAAGGCATCCATTCCTCTTGCTATTTCAAACTAAACTTTAGTATTTGATATATGAAGCTGTGGTTTATTTCCCTTCACCTTCATTTACATGAAATGGTATCCGGCCATGTAAAAAGTTCTGTTTTTCATTTTCTTTCTTTCCATCCAAAAAAACTTTGGACAAATTCCTTAAAGGTTGGTGTGGCGTTTAATCTATTGTAGCTAGTGATCGACGACTAGGAATTTGTTGAGAGATGACCTTGGCAGTGTCTCTCCACCAACAGATCTCCTTTTCTTTTTCTTCAAGCTTTTGCATGGTGGATTCTAAAGCTGACTCCAGTTCTTTGATCCTTTCTTCTTGCCTTGTCTGTAGAAGCTCATGCAGTTTCCTGTTTAATTCTTCTGCTGGAACTCCACAGTTTTCTCTTATTGTTACACACGCATTAGGGTTGTATACTTCTGTAAAGCTTGTGCCAAGGCTTCCTTCTGAGCTATCCATAATCTGCCACAATTTAAGTTCACTACTTGAGATCTTACACAAAACTAATTAGAAAATTATACCCATGAAAACAGCCTCTTGCAGAAATGCAGGGAAAGGCTGCGTACGATAGACCATTGTGGTTCGGTTCGGCCCTTCCCCGAACCCCACGCATGCATTATGGAAGCTTAGTGCACCGGGCTGCCCTATACTTTCTATTGCTCTGCTCAAGCTAAACTAAAAGCAATTTAGTATAGTCATGTCATACTCCAATTTGTAATCTAAACAAATGTAACTGCTAACAGAACGTACCTCTGCATCTTGATGTGTTGGATATTTCAACGTGACTTCTGAATCTGAATGGAATTGCAAACGTTCTAGTTCGACTTCAAGTTCTGCTTCAAGTTGGTTCATTTCCAAATTCGTCTCTTTTCCTTTCATTGATTTGCAGTTGAAAGCTGTATGATCATGGCTGCAAGTGATTTCTGATTCTTGTTCTATATCAGTAGAGTATGCGAATTGTTCAACACAATCTGAATCGTCGTGTGAGATTTTGGCTCTTGAATGGGATGCAGCAGAAAGATTTCGTCTGATTCTTCCTTGGTTTTGGAATTCCATCTTGGAATTATGAAGCAGGATTTCCAATTCTCTACGAATCTCAACGATTTTGTTCAGCTCATTTTTGGTAGCGTTAAACAGATAAATTAAACCAAATCCAATGCCTAGGTTCAAAGAGTCTGCTTTCTTGTCTCCTGCATAAAATGTTGATTGGTTTGTTTTAATAAATATTACACAGATGAAATCATAAAAAGACGAATGTTTTTTGAAAATGACATGAATTTTGCAAAAATGATGGCTTTCTTCTTTTTACCTTGTTTTCTCATCTTACTTTCTATCTACATTGCAAAAATAATGCATTCAGGTAATAAGTTACATGTCCAAATATTATTATGTCATTTTCCATGTCAATCAAAAAGAACAAATTGTTTCCATATTCTTATACGGGATATAATATGAAAACGTGAAGGTAAAAATAGTAAAATAACATCTAAACTCAATTTTATGTCCCACTACCGGAATTGCAATATGTCAATAAGAGATAATAAAGTTTCTATATTAGATGACAGCGTGCTCAAAATAAGAGTTAAAATATTTGGAAATCATATTTTAGGTGGTTGAATTCAAACCTGCCGAAATTGTTTGGAGTAATTATTTTTTTGTTTGTCTGCATCTTATCTAACTGAATTAAATAATTTCGGCAGGAAGGTAGGAATTAAATAATATTAAAAAGCAACGGATTTTGCAAAAGAAGCTGTCTCTCAGTTTTCTAGTTCTAAGCAAACATTGGTCCTACCCATTTATTAAGATGACTCAAATATGAATTTTTCCATGTACCTATTCCTGTTTACCGTTTGGTGTTTCTCCTCGTCCCGCCAAACTTCTTGTTACACAACCTTACTACAACTTATAGTAGCCTATTTGACCAATTTTCTTCCTGAGTCAAAAGTGTATTTTTTTGTTGTCGTTAAAAGTGCATTTTTTCTAAGAAGTGAAAAAATAGTTTTTCTCCAAAAACATTTTTGAGAAAAATAAAATTAGAAACACTTTTAAAAAACTTGGGCAAACACTAATTGCTATTCAAAAGTAGCCAAATACTAATTTTTACTCAAAAGTACTTTTCAAACTAAGTAGTCAAACACAAATTGTTTCTCGCCAAAAAATACTTTTGAGAAAAATACTTCTCAAAATAAGCTGATTTTAGAAGCTTGGTCAAATTAAACATGCTATTAATTCAAGCAAACGTATTTACAAAAGAAACAACTTCTGCACTATGTCCATTTATTTACACGATCACATACGTCAATAGTGATCGAAAATTTTGTATATGTTTTTAATCATCTTATTGAACTATAAATTAGTTTATTTTCGGTTTGTATGGAAATAGTGAACACTAATTCACTGACCATCAGACACCCTTTTCAATCACCAGCTCTTTTTATTAAAAAAAAATTATGTTCGAATAAAAGTTAAATCCTTAAAGAATAAGTATACATCTAAGTTTNTATATATATATATATTATCAAGTGACTTTAAATACAACTCCGTCAATTGAAAAATGGTAAAAACCCTACTATTAATCAGTCTACATAATCACATAGACACAAATAAAAAATATTCTAACTTTGAATTTGAAAAACACGACCTTTAGATTTTTCATCATTTTGTCTTTGTTTTCATATTGAAAAAATAATAAAAATGCGAGATGTTAAGCTATATTTACCTGGTTCTTCCAATGCCGGAGATGGCGATAAGGATTCCCTATCTAATCTCGTAAGAGAATCCTTCTTCTTCTTCTTCTCGTTGTTTCCGCTACCATATTGAAGCTGTTGCTCCTTCACTTTTTCTGCGCCCTTTTTTGTCTCAAACCACCTCGACAAAATCCACCTTGGCGATATACAAGTAGTAAAGCTCCTGGTACAAGTTATTTCTGCAGATCTTCTTTTCCTAATTTCTGTAAAAGCCCTTGCTGTGATTATGGAGATGCTACAATAATCTTCACTTCCCATTACGATCTTAATTAGGGAGTATAACTTACTGTTATAGCCAACTCACTCTCTTATACCTATGTTTTCTGCCTTCTCCTTCTTTCGGTTTTCCAAATAGAAATACTACTAAGAATGACACAAGTGAGGAGGGAAATTTTTGAAAGTGAAAGGTTCACGGGTTTCTTCATGTCCTAATTTATGAGCCTATCTAGCTCACTGAAACCGAAACAACATTAATTAGTGACATTAAATTATTAGATGATTCAATTTTTCAAGTATATTATATTACTTGGAAATGTTTTGTATTCTATTTACCAAAAAATATAAAATCGATCGCCTTATTAATTTGCAGTTTAGAGCATTAAGGTGTAAATTTGAACAAGACCAGTTTTCCCCTGAAACTGGTTGGGAAAGTAAATGCGACAAATACACTCTACCCACCCGTTAAATGTCTTGTTATGCTTATCAATGGCCAATTTGAATTTGTTTTAACTGAACTTAGATTTGAAATAAAAATTAAAATTTTGCTACACAATAGTTAACAAAAGCAACTTTTAAAATTTTATTTTTAATAAATTCTCAGAAAATTAGGGTAATTTAGCAATTACTAAGAACTGACTCTCTACCTCTCCAGAAAGTGGTAAGGTATGCGTACACACTATATTTTCCAGACCCCACCTGTGAGATTATACTGGGTTTGTTGTTGTTGTTGTTGTAGCAATTACTAAGAACAAATACAAGACATTCAATTTCTAAGGAAGAAAGTAATTTACATAAAAAGAATGAAAGAAAATGAATGCATATTATAATTCCGTTTGGCCATAAATAATATTTTAGTTATGTAAATACTGAAGTTTATTATTTTCAAATGACATCGATATTTGAAATACCATTGAAATATTGAAAAACTTATTTGGCGAGTATTTATTGCAAGTAAAATAATGAGCTTCTCCTAAATTTTAAATTTTGTTCCAAGTGAAATTCTTATTTAAATATCTTTTTTGAATCTTCACTTTCAACTTTAAATTCAAACACCAATCTTTTTCGATGTCAACCAAATATTGCCGCGTGCTTAGTACATGGTGGAGGATTTATGACTAAAGGAAAGGAACTAATCCCTAACTAATCTTGCCAACTACCTAATAACATTGATAAGCTAGTTAATTAATTAGTTGAATATTGCTCAAATGCACATCAATAGAATGTTACAGAATACTTATCAGAAAATAACGAAGTAAAAACATAAACTCTTTTCCTGGCGTGACGTAATGTCATAGATTATTTCGGGGGCTAAATTGCAACATCCTAAGAACTTGAGGTAGGTAAGTGGCAACAACATCAAATAATATTTGTTTTTCCACGCAATTACTGATCTTTAATGCAGTGTAAGGCAGATGTAGGAATTAGTGACAAATTATTGCTCTATTTCGGGACCACAAAGCATATAACTTTATCCATCTTTTCAAAATCAATTGATTCTATCTCAAAGTTCATAATGTTCAAATATGAATTAGAGAAAACTCTGATAGGTTTGAAAAGGCAAAAAAGGGAAGTTTTGCTTGACAATTTTTTGTTAAGATAGGAAAATTCAACATAATACTTATGCTTTTTCGTTGTCCAAAACTTGACCTTTGGAGAAAGTGTTCTTAGAAGAAACCAATTCTTTATTCTCTTGCAGTTACCCTATCCCACAAGTATATCTAGATAGTCATTTTCCTTCCTTTACTGCCAAGTTGAATCTTTACAAGTGACGAAATAATACAGCCTATTTATTTTTGGTCCGAAGACAAAGACATATCAAGTCACCGCCAAAGTCTAATTCCCATCTAGTGGCCTTCGCTGCAGATGCTAGCAACTTGTGTTTTTTCCTGTATAAAGATAAAAGTTTTCATCAGGCCAGCCATATGGGAATTCAGATGCTTAATAAAGGTCACAACATTGTTATTAAATGAGATCAAAAGAGGAACTATTGCTTCATGAGTGAAGCCATCTGCTTCAAAGAATCGCGCGCTTAAAACAATATGGAGTGCAACTAGTTGAGAAATGTTATGTAAGAGAGAAATCCTAAGGCTGAACTTGAAGATCTGCTAGGTTAATCTTCCCTTACCCAAATTCACTTGCAGGCCACTATGTAGAGAACATACTAAGTGCTTTAAGAAAAGAAGAATAACAACTTCCCAGACCTAGAGGAATTTCAGTAACTTAAGAGGTTTTACTTCTGTAGATGGCATGGACATCTAGCATGGATAACCAAGTCGATGCTGAGACAAGAAGAAGTTCATCCAGCTGCTAGTTGAATACTCCATTTGAAAATAGCAGAGTTATTAAAGGCAAAAGGTATAGACTTAAAGAGCAAAGCGCCATTAAAATGTGGTCTTTAGCGAAGAATGACAACAGCTCAGACCCAGAGGAATTTCAGTAACTTAGGTAATTGTTGCCAGCACGAGTGGTTAATTATTAAATATAAAAAGAGTAAACTACAAATTGACTGCATTGGGTACACTTGTTTCACTGGCATTGAATAAAAACAAAATGACAGGTGATTCAAGTCAACTTCTTTTGTGCAGACTAGAAACAACTTGCAACACGTACCTTACCATAGTTAGAACGAATGTAGCAGCTATAGTTCAGAGTTAATAAGCTCCTCAACCGAGCCTTTATACTTCGAAATAAGATCCCTGGAATTAAGCATGAATCATGTCAATCAGAAAAAGAAGCTAATGCAAATTCTACTACTTTAAGTAGAAATATTCAGATATATAACAAAAAGTATCTCCACCACGATACACACCTTCGCTGATTTAGCAATTGTTCGCACTCTGCCTTTTTGCGCTTTTGTCCCTCAACTGTCTGTCAAAAGAACACACGAATAGTCCATTCTTATCCACATTGAAGCATGACAATATACATCAAAATTATAATTTCTGGAGTAACTTTGTTCAAGCGATCATAGTCTCAAACATAATAAACCACACTTTTCTGTAAAATTCTTTACAACTATAAGTTGCACATACAGGCCTAACAGAAGAGCACCATTAAAAGCAACTACATAGCCAAAGTAAACACATACAACTCTTACAGAAAATAATACTTTTTAACATTTTTTTGTGCTTTTTTTTTCTTCTTGTGTATGTGTTTGGGCTTTGTGTATGTGTGTGTGTGTGTTGGGAGAGGGGGGG